AAAAAAAAAACCAAAAAGTTTTAAGAAAATAAAACAAAAAGAAGAGAAATGTTTAAAACGATGATGTTATAAATTTTATAGTTAATGGGAAAATTCTCTTAACTATTTCATTTGCTCGTTTAAAATTAATTAACAAATAGCATCGGGTCACTTTCGTCGGAAAAAAAAAGCTTACAAATACGAAATTGATAAAAATAAATGGTCACTTTGAAAATGTTTGGTCATTTTTTCAAGCAAGAAAAGGAAGAAAAAAAAAGAAAGAAAGAAGGAAGAGAAAGGAAAGGAAAAAGTAAAAAAAAAAATGAGAAGGAAAATGAAGAATTATTTTAATTGGATTTTACTAATTTTAGTTGGTGACATCCAAAATATGGGAAGAATGTTTGTCGTCGTAAAAGTGGTAGGAGGAGGAAGAAAGGTGGAAGAGGAGGAGAAGAAGGAGGAAAAGGAATGGAAGGAGGAAGAGGAGGAGAAGGAGGAGGAAAATTGTGTGAAAAGGATGAAATGAACGGATAGATAGATTGAAAATTTTTTGCCACTTCTATAAACTAATCGAAAGCAAATTATTTTGTTAACTTTTTTTTCCGTTTACTTTTATTCCTACCAATAATATAATCAAATCAATTCATTTCTTTAATTTTTATTATTTGAAAATAAATTATTTCATTTTTATAATTAATATCTTATCTATTTCAGTCTATCATAGCTTGCCGTTTTATTTAAACTTTGTAAATTTTATTAAAAAAAAAAAATTAGTATCTTACCTATTTCAGTCTATCATTATCATAGCATAACATAATTTATTATAGCCAGTCTATTTGTTTAAAAAAAAAAAATTAATATTTTACCTATTTTAGTTTATTATAACCTCCTCATTTATTTAAACTTTACAAATTTGATCTAAAAAAAAATAATTAATATTTCATCTATTCTAATCTCCCATATTTTATTCTCGCCCTTTTTTCCCCCCATACTATTCAAATTTTACAAATTCATTTAGAATTAAAATATTTTAAAATGTATCCATTAATATGAATATGTGCTATTTGATAATTTTGCATATTTTGTATGAAAAAGGAATGAAATGAAATTTCACCAAAATGATAAATTGGAAAATAATTTTTCACTCTAAAATAATTTAAAATGAAAATGATGAAAATGATGAATATGATTGAATGCAATAAAAAGTTGTAAATATGATCGAGACAATCATTAATTTTTATCTATTTTGTACAAAAATCATTCATTTACCAATGTTTTTCTTTTTTTCTTCTTTCCCTTTCCTTTCTTACATTTTAGTGATAAAAATATTGATGATAAAATTGTGAAATATCAGGATGAGTTTTATAAATTGATATAGATGTAATTGAGAATAAAGAATATCTTATTGATAAGTATATGTAAGATGATAAGTAAATGTAAAGTTTCCTCAGGTATATATATAATGATAAATATGTGTAAGATTT